ATAATTTTATTAAAAAAATATGATTATTTTTTCTTTCAGATTTTTTTTACTACTCAAATAAATTGATAATTATTAAAGAGATTCTGCAATATTTTGTGCTTCGCTAAGCCAATTATTTACTGCCTAATTTTTTTATCATACTTATATAGTGATTTCAAACTGAAGTAATTTTGCGAAATATACTTTTACCACTTAGATTAGTATAAATAAGTTTAGGAACATGAAAATTGTATGATTTTGTATGATTAAATCAAATTACACTAAATTGTATAATTTTATATTATATTTATATTCTTTAATAAAAAATTTTATATTAATTTATTCTCTGATTAAAAAATTGTATATCAATTTGATAGTTGAGCACAATATTTTAAAATTTGAAAGTTTTTTTTTACAAGTAAAATTAGCAAAAAACATTAAATCAAACTTTTAAATTTTAATCATTAGCAAATCACATATACTACATATACTACATGCATAATTTACCAATTCTTATCATATAAATTCTGTGTCACTAAATGAGTTACATATTTATGTGGCTGAGGTTTATTTGCAGTTTTTTGTTTTTTAGTAGTAGATGGACCAGATTTCAGAGCATCCAATGCCTAACAAAAAACAACAAATAAAAGTCAGTGCCTGTGAAAGTTAATTTAGATGTTACTGAAGAGACTTCATTTTGTCTTAGACCAATTTCACGTTTTTGACCTTTAGGAGGCATTGTATAAAAAAAAAATTCTAAGGTATAAAATTATTGATTCTTGCCTGCACGAATCATAGAAATTTTATAAAGGGTTGATAACAATAGACGTAAAGTACAGATTATACAATGCATAAAGATAATGCAAAAGTATGAGTTAGTAACATATCCAGAATTAAAAATGAAAGTTACATTGCTTTAATTGTGCTACTATTCAGAATTTGATTTTTTTTACTATAACTAGATGCTTAAGTTGTTTAAAGAAAGTTAGAGATAAATTACTATACCTGATATTGTATTATACAATACAAGAACCTCATATTAAGATTAGACTCCATAGTTGTGATAGCAAAACAAGAACTAATGTTGTAATTGGGCTCTATGTCTGCCGCAAGCAATATAAGAACTCATGTTTGGTGATTGAGCTACCTATAAAAAAATTTTTTGTCTAAATTTTTATTACAAAAAATGCTCATTTTTTAAATACTAATCTAAACAAAATCTAAATAGTATTTTAGCTTTTTTATGGGTCTACAACTATAATAGCAATACAAGGATCTTACATTGTAATTAGACTCTGTAGTTATAGTAACAATACAAGAATCTAATATTATGATAAGGCTCTATAGCAGCTATAGACAATAAAAACTCTTATATTTGGTGATTAAGCTTTGCAACTACAAAAACAGTACAAGGACTTTATGATATGATTAGGCTTAGGCTCTGTGTAGAGATAGGTTCAGTCATAATTATTTATAGCCAAATTTCTAAATACTATTATTTTTTATTTTAGTACTTTAATTAAAGTTATTCAGAATTAAATTATGTTTATTCTATCTTATCCCTTAAACCGTCAGGTTTAGCGTTCAAATTTGGACGCTAAAATTAAAATCAATTATATCTGATCTAATTTTT